AATTCGCAAAATTCTGGTTACTTTCCCGCTACAGAGGTACATGTTTCACTAGCGCGGCGTCGTTGCAACAACAACTTACCCCACTAAAGTGGAATCGGCAAGGTAGAGTTCAAATTTTTAGAATTCTTATTTTTCCATATTTTCAAATTTAACCTATAGATCGTAAATTACCCTAAAACCCCTAGAAAAGTTATATCGAGTTGGAAAAAGGAGGAGAGGGAGCTTTTAAGCATGGGAATGGCGGAACCTTGCGAAATATTGGCCAACTTTCACCATAGCAAACCCGGAAAAGTTGGAAACAAAATCAAAACTCCATAGAAATTTCTTGGTACCCAAGTAGGTTAGATATTATGTTTAACTAGTTATAAATCCATTCTTACCATGTAATATATAAATTAAACAGTATGAGGTATGTGTAAACCTTCATGCACTGAGTAAATTCCGTGAAAAGTTGTTATAATTCAATGTTTTTGGAGTTAGTATTGTGTTAAGATGGTAATCAATCGAGGTTCTTATACGTGTTCTTGAATGGGTTTGTTTTTAATTTATGGTATAATTGTGATAAAGAGTTGTAGTCGGTGTAAGGAAAACTAGTATGAAACTTGATGAAGAACTAGAACTCGGACTTGTGTAATTCCGTAAGAAAAAATCGAGGGAATCCATACGTAATTAAGCATATTACTAGGTGATTTTATGTGGTGTGATATACACTTTTTGTGCTTCGTTATGATATTTATATATGTATTCATATTACAATAATGGTCTTAGATGTTGAAACGAGATATGCAAATTATCGATGCTATGAAAGTTTTGCTTAGATGTATGATCTTTATGTGTTATTGTAATGTGTGATTGGGATCGGATTTCCACTATTTGTCATACTAACTTGGATCGAATTGTCACGTTCCGGAATACTAACTGGGATTTTTTGCCATGTTTCAGCATAAAACTTGGATCAGATTGTCACGTTCCGGTATGCTAAATGAAATCGGTTGCCACATTTTGACATAAAATTGAATCAGATTGCCACGTTTCGACATGCTAACTGTTCTACTTTGGGTCCCGTGAGAGGGAAAACTACTTTTGATAAAGGTAGTGCGGTGTAATATGTTATGCTCAATATCGTGAGTTGTGTACATGTGTCTATATGTTGGGAGTTATATTTAAGCTATGATATATTGGAACCTTAAGTGTGGTAGTGGTACTTGTCGTATATAATGTGGTTAGTATGTTTAAGATATGATCTAATGAAACCTTAAGTGTAGTAGTGGTACTTGTAGCATACAATGTGATTAGTAATGTTTAAGCTATGATCTAATGGAACCTTGAGTGTGGTAGTGGTACTTGTAGTTATACAATGTGGTTAGTATGTTTAAGTTATGATCTATGGAGCCTTAAGTGTGGCAGTGGTACTTGTAGTGTACAATGTGGCTAGTATATTTAAGGTATGATTTGATGTAATCTTAAGTGTGGCAGCAGTACTTGTAATATACAGTATGGTTAGTATGTTTAAGTTATGGTCTAATGGAGTCATAAGTATGGTAGTGGTGTGTGTAGTATACAAGGTGCTTAGCATATCTAGGTTGTGACCTCGTCAGAAAAAGATGGGTGGTAATTGGAAGGTGTTCTAAAGAAAGTGAGAAGTCCAAACATGATCTTTTATTGTTTAGTTCATATATTATGAGGTGGGCGTCAGGTTGACTGATGATGCTTACCAGTACGTGTGGTTGTATTGATACTACTCTTGCTATGTCTGTTGACATAGTCCACATGTAGGATTGGTGATGTTTCCTTAGGTGAAAGAAATCCTCCAGCAGCTTCGGCTTTTGATTCCGCATGGTAGGAGATGTGTCTTTTGTTTAATTAGCCATATTATTCTCGTAGTGGCTCTTGTACTTGTCAGACTAAGTCATTGGGGATTGGTAAACTATTTTGTATAATTTATATAAGTGTATCCGAATGGTTTATTTTCAAACTTTCTTAACTTGTCGTTTATTTTCCTTAAATTTCGCATGTTTTCTAGTTGTTGGGTTATGAGGGTTCTCCTACGTAGGTGTTAGAGTAGGTGCCGCACGACCTGATGGGTTAGGTCGTAACAAAAATAAACGAAAAATATATATAATCAGCGTTGAAACAAAGGAAAATTTGACAATTTTAATGAATATTGAAAGTGTCGCTAAAGGGGCCTATTAAAGCTAAAATGTTGACATTTTGAAATTTTTTCTAAATAAAAAATCATACTTAAATTAATTCTAAATCAAAAATTAAAAAGTAGGGGAAAACTTAATTTTTGTTTTTAAAGTTATTTTAACATTATCAAACATTTTTAAACTTATTTTAAGTTATTTTAACATTATTAAACATTTCCTAACTAATTTTAAATTATTTTTATATTTGTCAAATACTTCTGAAACTCAAAAACTTACTTAAAAAATTATTGACCTACTTTTAAATCAAATTCAAATGCTAAAAATTCTCCAAAATTAGTGTTAGACAAAATAGCATAAGAAGAATTATATTATCAACATTCACAAATTTAGAATAACTTTTTTATTCTTTACCAGTAGTAAGATAGAATTATAGTATCCGCCGGTGTAGTGAAAGAGATGGAAACAAATTAAACCGAATTTGATATCTATCCGTGAGATGTGACGTATCCCTTTTGTCTACTCTATTTATCTCATGACACATGACTCATGCTCAAACTTTTTTTTGATAAAAAAGAAAAAAGTCATAGTACATAAATAAATGATTTTTAATTTGAATTCAATAGATAATTACGTTTTTTAAATATTTGATGTGTATAAATAGACATTTAAATTTATATATAATTAAATAAGTAGATTAAATATATCATACGTGATATAATATATGTAAGATATAAAATTGACATGCAGAAATATAGAACGAATGTATTTATTTATTTAATTTTATATAAATTTAAGTATCAAATTGTGCATATTTAAAGTTAAAGACCATAATTATTTGTTGAAGCCAAGTTTATATATTATGTTAAAAAAATAATAATGTACTACTCACTTTGCTTATGCCTTACTTTAACCATTGTCATCTCTTCTAATTTCCTATCCAAAAATTACCTCACAAGTAAAGCTAATGATTAGACTTATTCAAGGATGATTGTTGAGTGCAAGAAACTTAGCATCATTTTGTGAAAATTGATATGATCTTGTCATACTCATAAGTTTGATATGACCTTGTCATTAATTGTTCATAAAAACTTTTTTTTATAATTATAATCTAATCTTATCTCCCTAATTAAAAGACTAAGAATCTATTTTTTATTATTATTTAATTATTTGTTGTTTTTAAGGATTATTGAATTGTGCAGAGTGTCGGTTTTATTAGATGTTAAAATAAAATAATAAGCAATATGTGTGATGTATGGTGTGGGTGGAGCTAAGACTAAAGAGTCCATCTGATATTGATGTCTTAACAGTTAACACCCAACTTGTTCCTCTTTCCCACTTTAGGTACTTGTGCACCAAACTTTTTCCCAACTTATTATTTCCATCTCTAAGGACAATTTCAAACTAAAATAGTAATAATTTTTTTAAGATTAAAGTACATAAATGTATAGTTTAAGACCCTTTACCTTTAAATTTGTATTCCTTTACTTGATGGTTTTTGATAAAAAGAACTTACCAAATTTGTAAGTAGATTTTGAATTAGGCAATATACGTACACACATTCTATAAATAATGTGTTAGACATTTGTGTGTTGCAAGATAAATAAAGTAGTTAAATATATATGTTGAATACTTTTGTAATATATAAGGGTTTAAATTGAATGGACATATTTGTTCATGGAAGATTATAATTAATATGAATAGTTACTCCTTAAATTTTAGAAATATGAACATTATCTAGAAGTACACTAAAAAAATTGTAGATATTTGTTGTAATCCAGGGCGGAGCTAGAAATAGTCGACGGCGTTCACCTAAACTCCTTCAACAAAAAATACATTGTATCAATAAGAAAAAATTATGTCTTTATATTGAATTTGAACCTCGTGAATGTGAGATCAAATATTGACTTAGTGGTTGAGGGGATTCAAACTTAGAGGTGTATCTGGGGTGGGGGGGTAGGAGGGGGGGGGGTTCACCAGGTTAACATGAACTCATGGTCCCCCTTCGAAATCATATATAGTAGTGTAATATTTTAAACAAAATATATTGAAATATAGATGTGTGAACCTACACTCAGAGTACATAATGTGATTATAACTGGGTGCATCTCTCCGCAAGATTAGAAATTTGAATTTTATATTTATGTTGTTTTATTTTTCTTTCAAAAATATATAACACGTCTTTAAGTGGTAATTGGTAATATATATATATATATATATATATATATATACCTATAGTTTTGTAGGTTAGCAATAGTAAAAATCTAAATATCGAACTGTTTAAATTTATATCATAAATCAACCTTTTTATAATGGTGCACCCATCATTTCAAAATTATGAATACGCCTCTGTTCAAACTCGTCTTCCTAGAATTACTTGTATTTCTTCCTATTTAGGCAATATCTCTTTGAAGAAAATAATTCTTCACGCCTCAAACCGTCCTCTTCTTCCTATTATTTTCCTAAACACCAAAAGCAAAGTTAGGTGAAAGTTAATAAGTTTGGAAGAACCCGCTCGCTTTTTCATAGATTTGTATTAAAAATTAAATAATATATATATATATATATATATATATATATATATATATATATATATATATATTAAAATAAAAATCTCCAAACAAAATTAATTTAAAACATCCAAACACCTTATAACCTTAGCTCCACCTCTAACATTATGCATTAAAAATAGAAAATATATGTGTTGAAAAAAATGAAAAAGCTAGTCGCGTTACACAGTTAACGTGGAGTGTTCAAATACATGTATTCCCTTTATAAATAAATACAAAAATATTTATAACATAAAGTTGGGTCATTTTTAATAGCAAGAGGTATGTATATATAGTAAATAAATATTGTCATAACATAACAATAACGTAACGTAAGTATCCTTTTCTCTTAACTCTCACCTTCTTCTTTCCCACCGTTTCTTTCTCAGCTTAAATATTTCTCTTCTTTTCTTTTTCTCCCTTTGCTTGCTTCTCTTTATCTCCTCTCCTTCAAGGTACTTCAATATTCCTTTTTCTATATATATTTTATTATTTGGAGCTCTACTCTAATTTTATTACTCTTTCTATTTTTCTATACACTTATTATAAATATAGTGAGATTAATTAATTAATTAATTGCTCATCAGATGGCAGATAACAACACCACAACTCAAGATTTTGATGGTTCCTCTCAGGTACTAATTCAAATTATATTATTAATTATTATTATTTCTGCTAAATTCTTTGGGTAATGAACATTTTTTCTTTTTACATGTCGGCCGGTGCAATTTATTATTTTTTCACACTTTTTTCTTTTTGAATCCGTTTCTTAATTGGTGTCACTTTTTAACTCTTTATTGTGGAAATACTAAAGTGATTTACCAAATTGTAATTTGGTAAACGTAATCATTTAGTCTTATTTTTTAAATTTTATGTCCGATCAAATAATGTCATCGGAGAAAATATCCTCTCTAATTCTCAGGTGTACTATGTGTATAAAGGTTTACAAAGCATTACAACTCAACTCTTTTAACTTATTTAAAACTGAAATATATTAAATCCCTTCAAGGTCCATTAATAAGGAAATAACTTTTTTTACCCTCCTACAAAATTTTGTGTGTGAAAGTGAAAATTTCTCATAGAAAAAATAAATTATATAAGAATATTGTTCGCTCTTTTATAATTTAAATAGAAGAAAATAACTTATTTTTTATGCTCAAAAAGTAAAAATTTTTTATTAAAAAAATAAAATAAAAAATGGCTGACACATCACACATATACTTGGGTCACAAAAGATTCCTATAGCTAGGGAACAGTTGGGTTTTAATTTACTGTTTATGAAACTCAATTAGATGCTTCCAAATCCTAGCTTGTGTGTTATTGGAACCTGACATTATTTTTATCATTTGCATTAGCATTAAGGACCAATTATATTCTTGGTTCGATATGATTTTCTTTGTAATTTTAGTAATGTGGTCCAAAGAAAATATCTTGAGACGTTATTTTTTTTTAAAAAAAGAAGAAAAATAAGCATAAATATGATGTAGATTGTGGGGTTGAAGGGACGAAGCAATCACGTGCAACCTGCCGTAGGGGATCACAAAAGAGTGGTATATGCTTTTTGATTTAGATTTATGTATGTAAACATTTGAGCCACTCATACTTTAGATTCAATTATTATTCAAAAAGGTGTCGGCACTAAATTAACAAACTTGATTAGGATATTTACTCAAATTAACTTAGTTTTAATCAGAAGATTTCTTTTTATTAATAATGAATTATCATATTACAAATATTTAAAAAGTTGGACCCATAAGTTTATGCTGTGAATTATACTTGCTTGTGAAAAAAGAAATTTATTTGGTCCTCTATAGTACTAACTATAGTATTTAAGAAGTTTGAAAATAATATTTTAACTTTACAGAAATTTGGTCAATAAGCTACATTAATCAGAATATAGAGTTTGGAAAATACAAATTAAATTATCACATGGGATTCTGTGCTTGGTCCCCATTGAACTTTTATTGTTTAAATTTGTTCCTTGATATGTCAAATCAAGTCAAATGTTAGGCAAAAGGAGTAGATAGTTATATGTTTAATTAATTTATGTAGAGTTAGTTAGGTGTCTAATATTGAATTTAGTTGCAAGTTGTTTTTTGACTCAACCTTTGATTGTTTGGTATAATTACAAACTTCTGTAGACTACTTCTACTGGTAACAAATATGGAGGACTTGCTCCAAAGAAGAAGCCTTTGATTTCAAAGGCAAGTCTTATATTATTTTTTTATCTTAATTTTATAAAACTTATATAAACAAATTAATTTATATAATGTTGTTACAGGATCATGAACGTGCCTTTTTTGACTCCGCAGACTGGGCTCTATGCAAGGTAGACATAAATTAACGTGCAAGTTACACAGTTAGTAGGAAAAAAATTATATTCGCTAGTCAAATAAATTATTTCGATGAATGACTATTTAACTCGAATATCCTTTTGAACTTCTTTTCAATGTTGGTACTTTTCATATGAATACAGCAAGGTGCAGGAGTTGATCAAAAATCAACGGTGGCTATAGAAACATTGCGTCCCAAATTACAGGTAACTGGAACCCTTGAAAAAACTATGAATCAACTTTTTTTTTATATAAAAAAAAATATTACTCTAATTTATTATTGTTATTATTATTTTTATGAACTTCATTTACTAGTGAGAATATATTATTTGAAATGAAACAGAGAACAACTCATCAACAATTGCCTCCTAGAAGACCTGCTTGTACATCTTGATTCACATGTGGTACCTTCAAAATGCTGATTTTGTTATGTTATTTGCTGGCTAAGTAGACATAATATGTCACTATAAATACATGGTTCTTTTCTTCGATATGGGACTTGGATGTAATCACCAATAACTCTTTAAGAACTTTTGTTGCTTAAGCATTTATAAATTATTATTTCCCACTTTTCATAGTCTCTAAATGTATCTTTTTTTAAAAAAAATTATTTTCTAGTAAAAGTAGTTTCTAACGGTGGGATGTCATGATAAAAAAAAATCGTGATATTTTGAGTGTTGCGATATTCATATCTTTTATACAATAATAAAAAATATGTGAAATATTGTTTTTTTTTTTACATATTCACGTATTTATATCGGGCACCGTATTACCAGTAGTCTAGAGATTGATATTTTGTTAAGTTAAAAAGAAAAATTGATTAGAATGCCTTCCTTTCTTGTCTAGAGAATGATATTTTGTTAAGTTAAAAAAAAATTGATTAGAATGCCTTCCTTTCTTTTAGAGTATTGTTTTTAGTCAATAGGACGGTCTCGAAAACTTTTATTATGGTAGAAGCCTAATCAACAAAAGGTGTGAGACTATATTATTTTTTTGACACTTGTATAAGTAGGTCATTTATGTACTTTTCTACTTTAAAGTAAGAACTTTCTACAATTAGAGAGAATATATTTATGCATAAATTGAGTTGAACAAATATAAAAAAAAATGCAAGAAAAATTATGTGTGTTTGCTACTTTTTTTTAATCATTATTAATATTATACTAATGCATAAATTGAGTTGAACAAATATAAAAAAAAAATGCAAGAAAAATTATGTGTGTTTGCTACTTTTTTTTAATCATTATTAATATTATACTAATTTTTGAATTATATTCGAAATATTATTGTCATTATAGTTGTACGTAAGTTTGACAAATTTATTTCGATATGATTATTTTTGTGTATTCATTTTGTGTTAAAATTCTTTCATAATTATTGTGATTTTAAAATGTAGTTACTTTATTTTAATTGTACCATCTGAAATGTCGATTGTTACATTATTTTTAAATTAAACTTTTGAAGGAAAGTAAAAAGAGTTCATTATTGTGGGGATGATTGCTTAAAACAAAGTATCACTATTCAAAGAAATAGTTTTTAAAAAGTATCGTTATCCAAATAACATTTTTTAGTTAAATTTGTGTAGAATTTCAGTTGATGTAGAATATACGATTTATCATCATTACAATTTGATCATCAATTTTTTTAATAAAATAGTATTTACAATATTCTCTCGAGTACATTTTGTTTATTTTTGATTTTTTTAAATATTATATGATAATTGATAAATTTGTGAAATAATAATTTGTTTTAATTAAAGATGGCTAGATATAAAAAGAGATTAAAGATCTGAATTAATTTTTTATTTCTTTTTAACATCAACACGGCTGTCAACTTTTTTCAAACGTAAACGAAAATGTTAATTTTTTATTAAAAAATACACATTTAGTTTGAACATCAAAATATGTAATTTCAATTTTTAATAAAATTAACAAGATTATGATTTGATTTAAGAAACAATGTTACAAAGAAAATTCAAAAAGTTATTTGACTAAATGAGCATTCAACAAGTACAAAATGTGGACCCTACAGTCATTTTTAATTATATTTTAATAATTATTTAGTGAATTGTATTATGTTTGGTAAGATATATATTAATTATTTATAAAAATTATTTTACTTTTTGTTATTTTAGTTTAGATTTAAAGTTTTACTTTTTAAAAACTATTTCTTTGAGTAGTGATATATTTTTTAAGCAATCATCCCCATAATAATAATATAATTAACTTTTTTTTTACTTTTTTTAAAAAAATTATAATAAGGTCACAATTGATATTTCAGATCATAACAATTAAAATAAAATGATTACATTTTAAAATCAAAATAATTATGAAAGATTTTTTTTAAAAAAACACACACAATATGAATACACACAAAAATATCATATAAAAAGTTTGTCAAACTATCATACAACTACAACAATAATAATATATCCAGTATAATTCATAAATTAATATAATTTTAATAATGACTAAAAAAGTAGCAAACACATAATTTTTCTTGTATTTTTTATATCTGTTAAACTCAATTTATGTAAAAATATATTTTTTCTACCCTGTTAGTTATAGAAAGTTCTCGTTTTAAAATGGAAAAGTACATAAGTGACTCACTTGCCCATGTATCAAAAATAAATACTTTCACATAATTTTTGTTGATTGATCCTCTAGCATGATAAAAATTTTCGACCAGTTAAAAGTGAGGACATTGCCAATTCTAAATAAATATTATCTCCATTTTTAAAAGAATAACATTATTTTTTTAGTCTATTTAAAAAGAATGTCCTTTTTTTTTTGACAACACTTTAACTTTAATTTTCCACGTGGTATGTTTAAAATCACAAGATTAAAAAATATTTTGATACATTTGATATAACTTTAATTTAGAACCACAAGATTATAAAGTCTTATTTCTTTTCTCAAACTCTATTCCAAATTAAAATAGATCATCATTTTTTAAGCGGAGGAAGTAATTAAATTTTCTCTCTAGTGAATAATTGATATGATAAACTACATCTGAAAATGAAAATGTTACGAGTTAGTTAGTGATGTATAGTACCACTTATCAATTAATGGAGCCTATAAGTATAGCTCTAATCACATGTTGCAATGATAGTATGTACAATCATGTAAACTGTCCTATATTGAACCTCCTTTCATTTGTTTTTAATGTTAACTTCTTCATATTTTAAATATAATTAATGATAATTTTAGCTCCATAATTGTTGACTCTTTATAGAATATAATAAGAGAAATGTTATTTTGAATTCCTAATAAAAAAATTTAACTGTGCAGGTATCCTATTACCCCCTAAATAATTCCAAATTTATATTACTGCATTATTTTGTTTTTTGATCAATTCTTAATTTTATCACATACCAGTCATTATGTGACACGTGTTATTTAATTTGAAATATAATTTTTCTTTTCACTTTAGAATTTTCTCTCTTAATTTTTGATTTGTTTTAGATTTTATTACTTTAATTTTAATTTCATTTTGAACTATACTTTATCTTCCACCCCTACTTCAAGCTACCCCTCCTTCCATTTTCTTTCTTTTTCTTCACCTCCCATCCTCACCTCACTCTACCCTCACGTTAAGTTGAGTCCATCCATTTTCTTTAAATTTTCTTCTTCTTCTTCTTTGGTGAAATTCTTTTATTTAAAAATTCATACTATTTTCTATACTTTATTGAATTATTGATGACAAAATTTAATTATTTTTCTAAGAAAAATAAAAATATTGAAAGTATCATCAATTAATTTATCTCATTTTCATATAACTTCAATACTAGAAATGATAATTTTGAAAGAATCAATGAATTCTCCGAAAATTGATTAATTTTGATTGAAATTTTGATTTTAAAAAAACAAATAAAATATATTAATTATTTTGAAATCTAATGAGTTTATCAAATTATTCAAATGTAATAAAATATTAAGATATAATTTTAAGATTGAAGAGAGTTAAACTAATAGTAGTAAAAAAAAGAGGTAGAATCGTTGTAAAAAATGACATTGAAAGTGAGAAGGTTCAATGACGATGACAAGGAATTTTTAAAAAAGGACAAAAGAAAAGAAAAAATAATAAGGAAAAAAGTAAAAATTAATAAGAAAAATAAGAAGATATATCTTATAGCAAAATACTTGTAAACATAAAATTATATTTGTTTTTTTAGTTTGTTCATGTTTTTTAAAAGAGTGCATACGCTCTCCATGTCACGTGGACAAAAAATGATATAATAATATCAGATCAAGATTGTTTAGAGGGGTAATATGACACTTGCATAGTTTAGGTGTCTTTAAAATTTTTGGGACAACTTCAAGTGTCACTTATGTATTTTTCTCATACAATAACTAAGAATTTGTGCCAATAAAATATAAAAGTTTGAAACTTAAGTCAAAATTTTATACACCAAAGAATATAATTACAATTTTTTAAACTTACTATTGAATTATAATTTAATCTATTAAGAAATCTAAATAATTGTAAAATTGATAACTCAATAAAATAATCTAATATCTAGATCATTATTAAAAGAAGAGCAAGTTTCATATATAACAAACACAAAAATTATATTTGTATGTTATTACTATAGTTTGCATAATCACGCTCCAAAGCAAACTTTCTATATGATATGGTCATTTCACTATACATATATACAAAATAAGTTATGACTATTTCATTATATATATATATATATATATATATATATATATATATATATATATATATATATATATATATATATATAGCAATTGTATGATCTGTTTTGGTATACATATACAAAAGAATCAGTTGTATAATTTGTGTTTGTATAAAGTGATAAAGAGAGAGAAACAAAAGAAAACTGGGCAGTGGAAGATCATATTTGTATAATCGTAAGTGTATATAATGAAAATATATGCATATATATTTATATATACAATTTTCTCTCGCTTTATACAAACACAAACACAAACGCAATGTATAAATTTGTGTTTGTATAAAGTGAAAGAGGTGAGTGAGAGTAGCGAGCAAGATCTGGGAGAGGGGAGAAAGGGGGAACGAAAATGTATGTATATATACAATTTTCTGTCGCTTTATACAAATACAAACACATTTTATACATTTGTATTTGTATAAAATCAAGAGAAGCGAGTGAGACTACCTAGCGAGAACAAGAGTGGCGAATGAAATTCACCAAGGAGAGAGGCAAAATAATAACAGTTTGCTACGGGGTACAACTAATCAAACTATGGTCATAACATTTAATTTGAATTAACACTTTGCTATTATATATATAATTTTCCCTTAAAAGCATAACTCATTTGTAATGACACAGAAGGTCATTTTTGAAAATTTTCACAAAATTGTCATTTTACCCCTCTCAATAGTTTCCTCGAGTAATTTTTGACTTGTTCGTGAAGTTGATTTGAGGATTTTAAACTATTTGATAACTTCGATTATTTAGTTGGTGGTATTTATTAAAGAGTAACTTTCACAAATAGCAAACATAAAAATCATATTTGTAAGCTATAGCTATACTTTTCATAATTGTTCTCCATAGCAAACATAAATATGTATATTTCTCTATA